AGGTAAAATGTGGTCTATTCTTACAATGGAATATTTGGCAATAAATGATAATTAAACATTGACACAAGATTAGAACATGAGCAAACTTTGAAAACATTATCCTAAGTGAACCAATTGCAAATAACCACAGAATGTATGATTCTATTTTTAGGAAATGTTCAGAATAGGCAACCTAGCAGAAAGTAGATTAGTGGTTTCCAAAGGGTTGGTGGTTGGGGGCTTTGGGAGGAAATGAGAAGTGACTACTAATGGGTATTGTGTTTCTTTTGGGATGTTGAAAATTTTCTAAAATTAATTGTGGCAATGATTTCACAATCCTATGATTATACTAAATATCATTAAATAGTATACTTTAATATACTACGTGAATTATATTTCAAGAAAGACATTATAAAAATAATGCTTTGTTTTAAGTTAATGAAGCCTGACTTAATTTGGGGGCCTCTGTAGCTGACAGCTAACTATGTTCATATTTACTGTCACACTGCGCTGAGTGATTCATATGTTTTTGTTTATTTAATTGTTAGAACATCACTATGAAATGAAGAGATTTATTGATCTTTCTTCCAGAGACTAGAAAATTGGAGCACAGAGAGATTAGGTAATTTCCCTGAAATAACAGCAGTAAGGTAAGAGGTATTAGTGCCAAGACTTAAATTCAGGCCTGGCTGATGCTGGAATTCACTCTTTCTCCAAGTTTCTTCTTAAAATTTTATTCTTTTAAATAGTTAATACACTCACATATTTCAAAATACAAAAAGTAACATAAGGTGAATCCATCTTTTCTTCATCCACTTTCTTCCCGATCCCTGGGGTGCAGCTTGTATTAGGTTCTTGTGCATCATTCAGTATTTCCTTATGTAAACAAAGCACATACAGACAGACATTATTTTCCCTCTTCCTTTTGCAAACGCAGCATAGCCCATAGTTTATTCTGAACCTTGCTTGTTTCCATTTTCTATGGCATCTCTGTGATCCTTCCATATTCTTCTTCTTCATTTTTGTCTTTATAGCTTTACAGCCCTCCACAGAGCCTGAATATAACATCATTTATTTAATGTGTCCTCTAAAGATGGACTTTTAGGACTTTCCTAAACTTCTTTGATTCAAGCCATTACACCTTATGTTTCAAAATTGTCTTCAAAGGCAAGAGGGAAATGCATGAGAAATTTAATCATTAAAAAAAAAATCCCTTCCATCAAAGATCAGCTACTTTGAAGACAACAACCCTCATTTAAATGTGTTAGTAGGAAAATATTTGTTAAAAACAAACAAAATTAATTGCATTGCATTGGAGTCACACTGTGAATTATACTTGTTAGGAGAGCAGCTCTGGGATTTCCAAAAACTAAGTAACAGGCTGAAACCGTTTTTTCTATTAATTGGGCAGATTACTTCCTACAATTAATATCTGCATAGATGAGAAATAAATTATTCAACCCTGACCACATATCACCACTATCACAAATTTCCATATGACATATATGTTAATCCATCCTATTCACTTGAGTAGAAAGGAATTTCAGTTTTTACCATAGCAGACCTAGACGCAAACTATTTTAAGGTGACCCCAGCTGTTTTTAGAAACTCTATTATCAGTCAGAAAAACAACTTACCTTAAAAAATGGAATCAACACTTCAATAAAGCTATGGATTTTTGAAAGGCTGCCTGATGTGAAATGAGTTTGAACATTTAACATGTAAAGGACAAGCAATAAAACACTCAATATGAGTGCAGGCAAAATATCAAAGAGCGAAAGAACACGATTTCTTCTGAAGAGAATGGAAACAAAGAATTCAAACTACATTACTTCTCAAGCTAGAGAAAGTGACAACAACTGAATTGAAAAAGCTGAACTTAGCATTACCTCCCCAGAACACAAACATATATTTAGCTTAATAGACTTGAGTACTATCTCAGGAAAAATCGTATATATTATGCATTGAGGGCAATGAAAGCTGTAGAAAATGATTTTTGCAAAGCAAATACACGGCAGGCGGATAGTAGCAGAGGGGAAAAAAAAGAGTCCACAGCATGTTTGATGAGTTTATATTCTATAGGTCATCGCAGGAAGAGAACAAAAGAGCTGCAGAAACCTCAGAAACTAAAAAGAACCTGGCAGAACTAAGTTTGCTGTTGAAAGCTGAAACACACGTGCGCAGTCTCTGATTTTAAGTTATAATATTGTGTCACACTAGAAAAGGTGTGAAATAAGGACTGACTATAAACAATTAGAAGAATCCATAGATCCAGCAAGAAGAACATGATTGAATATTAGCATAGTTCATGATTCTTTCATATGTTTGAATGTCATTTTACAAAATTGGGCCTTTATAAATAAAATGTTCTACCTGGTCTTTCCCTCAACTCATATTTCTTCTGTGTTTTTTTTTTAAATCAAATTTAATTTTAATTTTAGGCAACATGATTTACAATATTGATACCTGCAGGTTTTCATGCACAAAACATCCCAACACCTATGCTTCACCAGAGGGTTCCACCACTGTCCTCGTGGGCACGCCAGGACCCCCAGCCTCTCGGCGCCTGCCTTCCATTCCCCTTATACTGATATGCTTCCAACGAGAGATCACTTCTCAGTTTCTGTTGTCGTGACTACCTGTTGTTTCTTTACTATGTTATTTTATATCCCACATATAAGAGAGTTCATTCTGCATCTGTCCATCTCCTGACAAACCTCACTCAGCATCATTTTCCTCTAGATCCACCATATAGTGCAAACTATCTGGATTCATCTTAAACCGAGTAGTAATCAATTGTGTTTATGTGCCTTAGTTTCTTTGTCCAGTCATCTCTTCTTGGAAATGTTGGTTGTTTCCATATTTTGGCTATTGCGATTGTGAATAGTGTTAAAATGCACATAGGAACGTGAATGTCTTTTCTGAAGATAGTTTTGGGCCCTTCGGGCAAATGCTAAGAAATGGAATTGCTGGATCACAGGGGAGGTTAATTTCTAGTTTTTTCAAGATGTTTCCATCCTACTTCTTCTTGAGTATCTTCCCATATTGTAGTCTATATTTTAAAATTTAATTTTAATGGCTGTATCTTATGCAGATAAACAGAGCCATTTGACACTTTCCATATTTTTGGACTTTGAGGTGATTTAAAATTTTTCAGTTTTATAAAAACACACTTTGGTGACTTTCTTGAGAGATATTTTTGAATCTATATTTATTTGACTTAAAACTATGTTTATTAAAAGGCTATTATTTACAAAGTTATTCATAATACAGTTGTTCCAGGAATACAAGATTCCAGCACCAATTCCATTACCAGTGTTTTTGCTGCTTCAAGGAAACTTAAAAGCATATTAGTATGTCAGATTAAATTTAAATACCTTAGTGTACTACTACTATAAACTTACTATTGAATATTTCTGGAGACAAAACTCAGATAATGCATATAAAATAATACTATTTTCCTATCACTCATAGTCTATATTTATCTTTCTAGAAAAGTCCCCTTTCAGCAACAACATTACTTCCTTTTGGCGAATGGACTATTGCTGGGTTAATCTAATTGCAATAACATCAGATTTGACTGACCCAGTTTCTTCAATACAATATGCAAGCAGTTACAATATTCTACAGAGTAAAAAATACCTCAGGCCCTCAAAATATTTTTTCACTCCTTTATTTAAAATAAGAAGGATTCAAAAAAATAAAGGAGCAAGTTGACAGCAAATAAATCCTGTGTGGAGTTGAGGTCGGGGTGAAGTGGCATCTGCAGGACTATTCCTAACTCTGGGTTAGGGGTTACTCCTAGTAGTGCTTGGGAGATCATTTGTGGTACAGGGAACAGAAATAGGGTTGGCCACATGCAAGGCATGTGTACCTTATATCTCTGGTGTGGAAACCAAATCTTCTTTTTTAAATATTTTTTGCCTCCCAAGTGATGCTCATGGAGTCTGCCCGCCCCCCCCCCCCCGCCCCCGTGATTCTCACTCAGCAGTTGGTTCAATACATGGGTCCAAGGACGCTATGCTGCTTTGACCCTGCAGTGCTGGGGATACTGGGGAGGGGGTTGGGTGGGGCTCAAGGGATGCACCCTGCAATGGTCATGGGAGCATATGGTACCAAGAATAGAATCCAGATCCAGGGTGTGATCCCTAACCACTCTACTGCCTCTAGGTTCTCAGCAGCCAAATCTTACATAGACACGTGCTATGTAGAATATAGCTTATTGTTTGTTTCAATTCTAATTTTAATCTGTCACATCTAGTTATAGGGTTCTTAAATGTTCTCAAGATAATGACGTTATTAATGATCCTGGAAGCTATAATTCCTAGAATTATTGTCTTAATAGACCTGTCTTAAATTTCCTATTGACTATTTTGAATAAACCTATTTTCAAGATGCTAAATATGTTTTTGTTTTTGCAAGAGAAGGAGAGATAGGGCAGGGGAGGATGGAGGGAGGGAGAGAAAAACATATATATAGACACAAATTTCTAAAATTTCCCTGACCTACCCTTAAGCCAGTGAAAGTAAAACTAAACAACAAAAAATTCACTGGTTATATTATACACACATATACATATCTCTATATGGTTATATATCAAGTTAATATAGCACTGGTTATATGAACTATGGAATCACTTAAATCCTAGTATCCCTAAGCATCAGAGTTAAAGACAGGGAGAAAGCTTGGTTCAGTCATGTCCAGTTGTACAGACATTGCACTGTGTACCTCTAGGGAGTGCAATACTCTTATCTTTTACAGTTCTCTCAGGAACTGCACCATAGACAACGTGGCTAACTATATGTGATGGCCCTGATAGAGCTTCAATACATCTGTTTGCGTATCTGTTACCATTTGTACATTTGTTGTCCCTAATGAGATGGGCAAAAGAGAAGTCTTGTGAAGGAAATTCTACAGAGAAGCAATGAGAATCATTCATTCCCTTCATCATGAGGGTAAGAATCCTTCTCCCCCCCCCCCCAGCTCCCATTCCAGCCACCCAGTAGGAAGCAGCAAGATACCTTGTGTGAGTAACTGTAAGTTTCTGACTTCTTCTCGCACTTTCAGCTGGAGCACCTGTTGTAAGATGTGCTGCCGGAGGTTCTCGTGGGTGATCCCCATTCTCTCAAGCTTTTTGTCTGTAAGTCTCAGCAGGGCTCGGCCTGTAGGGTTTCAAGAAATAGAAAGTGAAGCAATGAGTAATGGCTGAAAAATTTTGTTTTTTGTTCTGTGGTTGTTGTTTTGGGGCCACACCCAGTGACGCTCAGGGGTTACTCCTGGCTCTACACTCAGGAGTCACAGGGCTTGGGAGGCCATATGAGATTCTGGGGATTGAACCTGGGTTGGCTGTGTACAAGGCAAGCACCCTACCCACTGTACTATTGCTCCAGCCCCAGAATTTCCACCTTAGAGCTGTCTTATCCTGTCATCACAAAATTTCCAAGAAGATACACTAGATATTGTAGAATAAAGTATAGCAAAGTTCTTCTTTATTCATGCTGACAGGAAAGTAACATCTGGATAAAGAAGAGTCACAAATTTTTACAAAGAACCCCAATTTTCATCTAATATTGGCAACTCCCAACTGGTCAGTGTATTGTGTTAGATAAAATAGCAAAAAATTTAACCTGGGAATTTGGGTCACAGATTTCAGGTTTCCATGGAAACGGAGCTCTTCTTTGAGTGATGGGCTCTAAGGCTGGTCCACAGGAGCCCGTGTCACTGACAACCCAGCTGGAGAACTGGATGTTCTGACTGTGGTGATAGAGGAAACTCCAGCAATAGTTAACCCATGCAATAATAATGGTTTTGTAAAAGGTGAATTTAAATGTTCACTTTTAATCTGCAGGCATCACTTCCCCTGGTGAGCCCCTGGAGGTGGTTGGGGTTCTATTTTCAGCTGGTAGAAGTGATGTCTTAATCCTCATCACAGGCTGATGGTAAGGTCAGCCTTCCAGCAGAGCACATGTGGAGAGGAAAAGGGTCAATGAGGCCATCTAAAAGATATAAAAGGAGGAACCTTGGGTGTGAGTGCCTGTAGTGTTGCTAAAGCCAGGTACTTCTCAGTCCCTTTGCATGTCTGGAAGGTCTTCTGGCTTCCCCTGCTGTGGTACTGTCCACAACATTCCCAATATTGCACCTTACATATTATTAAGAAGTCAAGTCAATGGTTTTAGATTTATTTCCCATGTCATTCCTAATTTCTGGGGAGGGGCATTCTCAAAGGAGTGGTGCGACTGAGAGATGACTTTCTAGAACAGTCTAGAGAACAGATGTTGGCTATCATTTTGTGGATAATTCACCTCCCAATAACAAGTTTGTTTTTGTTTTTAACATGGTCTCAATTTACAATGTATAAATAAAATCCATTTAAAATCCTTTAGAGATGATTTATTTATTGATTGATTACCATGAGACACACTGAACTTTCATGATTAAGTTTCAGTCATAAAATGATCGAGTACCCATCCCTCCACCAGTGTGCATTTTCCACCACCAATGTCCCCAATATCCCTCCCGCCATCCCTACCCCATCCCACTCCCTGCCTCTGTGGTACACACCTTCCTTCTTATTCTCTCTCTACTTTTGGGCATTATGGGTTGCAATATAGATACTGAGAGGCCATTATGTTTGGTCCTTAGTCTATTATTAGCACACATCTCCAATTCTGAGTGTTCTTAGGGGTGATTTAAATCCTTTCCAATATGAGGTCTATGGTCTATCAACACATAGATCAGACTGCTCTTTGATGTGTCCAGGATTTGACTGTGATTTCCAAAGTTGTGACCTTCTGTAGCCAAACATGTGTAGCTGTTGATAAGTTAGAGCAGGCTTTGATCTGGAAAGCCCTCATTGCAGCATCGTGCCAATCAGTCGGTGAGGATTTTGGTCCTAGTGCAAACAACTCGATTTCTTTGATCCTGTAAACCTCCTGCCTTAGCGTTCCTATGAATGGTCCTGTTGGTTTGGAGTGTGAATACACAGTCATATCAGAATGCTTATCTCCTACTAGGGTGGGTTAATGGCATAAGGCCAGGAAATACAAGCTAAAAAATCTCTATCAATTCAGAAAGTCTATGATACTCAACTATGTACTCCCAACAACTGAGGCTATAACCATTTAGTATATGAAACACTCAGCTGTTCAAATTGTTTTATTCAAGTACTGACAATATAGACATTAAATTGTGACTATTTCCATTTTTCAAAAAGAGAAATTGAGGAGTTAGAGCATATTTAAAACATGAGAGCTTTCCGTGATTCTTCCAAGTAGAATGTATCGGTTGTGGTTAATATTCCTTTGTAGGAAACTACTAAAAGCTTAGGTTTTAGTAGGCAGAAAGATTAAGGATATATTTTGTGTAGAGGAACTTTCTTATAAAATGAGGTCTAGAAAGTATCATGACCTGCACAAAGGGCCTTCTGGACAAAAGGGGATTCTCTATTTTTCTTCATTTCTACAGTTCCACCCAGTCAATAGTTCAACTGATTTATCACAATACTTAGGCCGTGTCTGGGGAAAATGTTTCGCAATCTTCTGCTGACCATAAAAGAGTCCAGATATATTTGATGCTACTTTGGATAAAAGTAGTTGGTACTAATTACTTGCTCAATAAGAAGCAAATTATCACATTTTGTTGGTAATTTTTCACTTTTTGTGTTTTACCATAAAAATCAAACTGTTAATTTGTTCATTACTTGAGGTATGATAAACAGATAGGGCTAGTCTTGGAGCTTTCCAACAATGTGGTAACCTTTTACAGGTGAGTGACAAGTGCTAGAAATAAAGGCAACTACAGGAGCCCAGAACTTGGTAACCTAACCTAGCCATGGCATTAGGATGCTGTTATTAAGGGGTCTTTAATGAAGACTTAAGAGTAGGTGCTAGGTGCTGGAGATACAGAACAGTGAAGAAAGCTCTAAAGGGCACCTCCATATGGAACCCCACACCCCACTAGGCATGATGACTGCGCACAGAGCTGGAAGGAAGCCCTGAGCACTGTCAGTTGTGATTCAAAAACAAAACAAAAAACAGAAATCATTAGAGCAAGATAACAGATAAAGTGAAAAATGAAAAACTAAACATCTACAAAAGAGAAAAAAAATCCAATAACCATGTAGCTGAAGAGGGAGCTCACATTTGGAACTGGAGAGGGAGTGGAAGAGTCCTATCCTAGCTCCTGTATTCCCTGCCTTTTCTTACAGAAGTGCTTTGGCGACTTTTCTCTGCATTCAGTTGCCTCAATAGGAAGTAACAGATGGGAAAAATCTGTCTCAATAAAGAAGGTCCATAAATTTCAGTATACCCTGAATATTACAAATAATATTTAATGGACTCAGGCTGTTGGGCTTTACACAGAGAGTCACATGTTCCTATAGTTGGATGACATTTAAAGTCTTCCACTTTGATCTCATGGCAGGTCTTTTCTTCTTCATCAAGCATTTATTGTCATTTTTCTGACACTGTTTTGAGTGCTGGAGTGTGGAGATCACTGGCACCATCTACGTCACTAAGCTTGCCATGCAGTGTGACTATGGAATACCATATTTAAAGAATCACGCAGAAGCAGTTGGGGACCCTAACTAGGAACACAGGGCTAATACAGGTGAGGGGTCAGGAAAGATATCTAAAGGGATGAACTGGAAGAACAAGAGGGACAAGCCACTAGAGAAATGGCAGAAAGACAAATGTGCTTAGCGAAGAGGAGTAAGATAAGAGAAAGAAGACCAATAAGAAGGGGTGAGAGGGGTAAGAAGTAGCTCAGTGCCCAGGGCATCTGCCTTGCAAATCTGAGGTCAGGGAGGTCATGAATGTGATCCTTGGCACAACTCTGCATGATGTATGCCAATTCCTACTTCCTCCTTAAAATCCTTAGAACCACTGGCAATGTGCATCAATACCTCAACTGAAGTGTGCACCCACCAGCAAATGCCACAACTGAAGTGCAAGAAATCTAACAAGTACACAACTTCAGGTAAGTACATGTCCGAGCACTGCAAGCTCTGGAGAGTTAATACTTGGTGTCAGCAAGGACAACAATGACAGCAAAATAAGAATGTGTATTTTTACAAAACAAAGGAATGAGATCTGAAAGAAGGCTGGGCAAACTGTAAAGGATCATCTAGGCCTGGGATGAGGGCTTTGGATTTTACAGAGAATGTGGGAGACTGCTGAGCCAGAGATGACTGACACGGTATGATCTCACATGTCAACCAAATCCTTCTGAACACTATGTGAAGGATGATCTGAGGGTGGAGAAATAAATTCAGGAACAATGAGAAGAGTCATTCCACCCTAAGGCAGTCATAACAGAATGATGGAGCTTTGGAAAGGGTTGGAGGTGAGGCAGTAGAAGTTGGGTTATATTTTCAGGACTTTATAAAACCTAGAGAAGAGGGGGTATGAAGGAAAGGCAGACAGCAGAGATGGGTTAGGTTTCCAATCTGAGTCATATGGTGTGTGTGTGGGGGATGGTGGCTCATTTAAATGTAAGAGAAGATGTGTTGGATGGGTGAAATGATGTGTGAGTCGTGTGAGTGATTTTTAATTTATTTTTGTTCTGGAATATGGAGAAGTAATGCACAAAATAGAATATTTCTTCCACTCTGTGTTATTTTTTTTAATCCTTCAACATTTGCCTCAAATCCTAATAGCTGACTGGGGGTAAAGAGAATACATGTGGGATTTGGAGAAAGAAGGAGGACCAAGAAGCTCAGTCCCAACAGTTGTCTTCAGTGTTAAAAATGTCTCCTAAGATGCTTTCTACAAGTTCAAGACAGAACATATTCAGTGAGCAACTGTACCCAGAACACACATGGTTCTGCCAAAAAGCTTGGAAAATTAGAATTTCATGTGACTAAAACTTGAGCATGTACATAAAAGGTTTATGGTGTGTGGCCACTACAATTCCTATTATGTTCACTATGATCAAATCCCTACTGTCCTTTTGTTGGTGCAAAGTAATTCTCAAGAAATGTTTACTAAATGAATGTAATTAGTGCTACCAAATGACTGTTGTATTCTTTACTCATGTGCTGATGATTTCAACATCATTAATTATTGTTTCTGAAGAGATTTTGTTGAACATGGACTTTTTGGATAACAGCTACAAGGACAATTAGAAATTGAATGTAGTAGAGAAAAAGTGCCTCTTGATGGCC